AAAAATATGTTTTTTTTTTAACCGTTGCTCTTGCATTTTAGAAACTTCTCAATTTGGCGTTTTGAAAAAACAAAAATACTCTTTAAATGAATCAATCAAGGATGCTTGAAAATTCATTATTCTTACACATGTCTCAGCTCTCAAGAGAAGAAGGAAAAAAAAAAAGGCCTAAAAGGGGTGGGTCTGAGCAGAACCATGGACCGGGCCGAACAAGTAAAGGTAAATATTAGGCCCGTTAAGTAAAGATGAATTGACACCAGCACATACACACACACACGTAGGATGGCCCAAACGCATGTGTCAGCAGGTCTGGTAGGGTTTCCAACGTAGCTATATACTAAGCAGAAGCCATAGTCTTTCCTTCTCCTTATATTCTTTAGGTTTCTGGCCGCCGATATCTGCACGGATTGCCATGGGTCGAAGCAAGTTTCATCTAGAAGCTTTTGAAAGAGATGCATACTTTTGTCGACACCAAAAATCTACCCACTTTGCTTCAGGAAGAGGTAATAACAACAGACTGGTATATTCTTTTGCATTCATCTTCTTTCCAACTAATGTCAAATTGATTTAAATGGTAGTATAACTTGTCCAGTGAGGATTACGATAGATAACTGTCAACAGAAGAAGAATCTTGATAAATTGAGTTGTACATTTTTTATTCTTAGTCATAAGCAATACTTTATTTTTGGGCTCTGAAAATTTCCCTTCATGGATTTCTGACCATCAAAATATATATTGGCATGACAGGTTTTACAGCTTCGACGACAGCTACACCTTCTGAAGAAATGGCAAGAGAATAAGGTAGATGAGGATCTTGCTGCACCTTAATTTGTTCTAGGCTTCTAGCAACAGCTCATCCGTCAACCTAACACTTCTCTTCCCCTTACCTTTTGCTCTTCTGAAGGAAATGCCAAGTCGCATGGTTGAAACTTAGTAGAATAGTCACATTAGTCGTGGGCATATTAAAGTTCAGCTGAGCATCGTAAATATTTATTTGTCATTACAATTTCGTTTTGGCAGAATCATAACTTTTAAGCCAGTAAGCCTAGACCAAACCGAACCTTGAATTGCGGACCTCGTCGAGCATCTTCTGCCGCTACTCAATGTTGGAGTGGAAGTTCATCAAGTACAGCTACAGGATAGTATTACAGTGTAGGGACCACTAAACGGCTCTCTGTGGCCAAGGCCATGGGTCGAAGTAAGTTTCATTTTTTTTTTTTTTTGTTGAATAAAAAAGTGGGGTTTGTGACTTTGTGGTATTTGGTAATCTGTTTTACCAAAACCAAAAAAAAAAAGGAAAAAAAGGGGAGGGTATTTGGTAATCTGAATTCTTAATTTTATGAGAAGATAGTAAAAACTTTTAATTCAAGATAAAGATAGGATAGAAAAAGGTTCAGAAGCCGTGTTATGACCAATCATAATATCCCGTTAAACATGCTACCATAATAACAATTTATCCCAATAATTTTAGCATTTGAAGTAGTCATTCATTGTTCAGTCCGTCGTATAAAATATAAATCTCTATAAATATTGTTTAAGGATGTATTTGAAATTATTGTAAATGTTTTAACTGCATTGAATTATACTATAATTGCAACAAAAAGTTAGTTTAATATTTAGTTCTTTATTTTTAAAAATATTATTGATGAAATATGATAAATTTTATTAATTATTAATTAAAATTTTAAAAATATT